TGCATACTGCTCACCTGCACCCCCTGTATACTGATCACCTGTACCGCCTGTATACAGATCACCTGTACCCCCTGTATACTGATCACCTGTACCCTCTGTATAGAGATCACCCTGCACCCCTACAGCTCACCTGTACCCCTTGTATACTGATCACCTGTACCCCCTGTATACTGATCACCTGCACCCCCTGTTCTGTTGCACATGTCTCCATACACCCCAGAGGCTTCTGTGTCCGATGTTGTGTCGAATTCTGTTCCGGTGTTAACACCGGATCGCGTTCTGTTCCTTTTGTCTCCATGTCACTAACTGTTCACACTCGCAACTCAAGCAGAGGTAGAGACACAGTAAGTATGGCGGGCTTCGGTAACAGCTGCGGGAAAGGCTCCCCCGGTGTCTGGCGCTAATGCCGCCCCGGTCCCTGACCAAGCCTGGCCGCCTTGACTCTCGCCGGATGACGTCACTCTAAGCATCCCGTCACCCAGGCAACCGACTGCTCCGCTACCCGGAGTCCCTGCGCGTGCGCACTGCGCTCGCAGCCCGGACAGCCTGTGTGGTCCTCAACGCATGCGCAGTGTGAGCCCCTCTCCTGTCCGGACCCGGGCAGAGGGAAGAACAGTGCGGGAGGTGAGAAGGTGCGGCCACAGCACAGCCAGGTAGGTGAGAGGAGAGGAGCAGAGGCCTGCTGTGAAGCTGAGGGGTCCTGGGCGGGGGGATGCTGGGACAAGGGGGGATGGCAGAGGCCTGCATAGGTGCTCCATTAGGCAGCCTGCAGGTAGTCTGCCTCTGGCCTGCAGCCCCAACCACATCTGTATCCCCAGAACATCCCAGTGTGATGGCCCTGCCCCCAGCTGGCCCAATGCCGGGCTATTAATGGGCATCACCCTTATCCTGACACCCCATCTTCTCTCATCAGTTCTCTGAGGAGTCCAAGAAGATTGAAGAACATAGAATGAGAAAGTTCCTTTACTTCTAAAGTAATCACTAAACTATGGCAGCACCGAAGGGAGGAGGAGAGCCTGGGGAACATGCTGCACAGAGTGCCCCCCTGTCCTGTGTGCTACCAGGAGGGGCAGGGGAATGGGAAGAAAAGTTGATGGACCTACCGACCAATCAGATCGCTGGTTTTATAGCCCCCAAAAATTAATAGATCAAAATAACTGGTTACTTTTGAGGCTCCTCCATTTTTTCCAGTTTTCCTTCCTCCAATAGTAGTTTTTATTTATTTGTATGATATATATATATTCTATCAATTAAAGTGTTGAGGCCCCCGAAACGCGTTAGCTGTTTTTCTATTTTTTACTTTACTGTCAGGGGACTCGGATCCCCGATCATTTCCCTTTTGAAATTGAAAAAGAGATTCTTTTTCTGCAGCCCCCGTTATGAATGAACGGGAAGCCTCTATGCTGAGTGCTCCTGTCCATTCATAAACTGAGGAAAAAGTTACAATCATGAATGAACAGGAAGTGATGTAGAGCACTTCCTGTTCGTTTATAATTGGGGACACAGTAAACATACTTTTATTTACAAACACTCAGCGATCAACTGATGCTTGTAAGCTGCTCTCCTTCCTGACTTTCTTGTCACTGGAGGCTGAGGGGGGGGTGCTGTGGGAGGAGAGCCCGATCTCCAGTGACAGCTGACAGCTCTCTCCTCCCACCCCGCCCTCCCACACCAGGGAGGAGGGAGCTGGCAGCTGTCACTGGAGATCGAGCTCTCCTCCCACAGCGCCCTCCCACACCAGGGAGGAGGGAGCTGGCAGCTGTCACTGGAGATCGAGCTCTCCTCCCACAGCGCCCTCCCACACCAGGGAGGAGGGAGCTGGCAGCTGTCACTGGAGATCGAGCTCTCCTCCCACAGCGCCCTCCCACACCAGGGAGGAGGGAGCTGGCAGCTGTCACTGGAGATCGAGCTCTCCTCCCACAGCGCCCTCCCACACCAGGGAGGAGGGAGCTGGCAGCTGTCACTGGAGATCGAGCTCTCCTCCCACAGCGCCCTCCCACACCAGGGAGGAGGGAGCTGGCAGCTGTCACTGGAGATCGAGCTCTCCTCCCACAGCGCCCTCCCACACCAGGGAGGAGGGAGCTGGCAGCTGTCACTGGAGATCGAGCTCTCCTCCCACAGCGCCCTCCCACACCAGGGAGGAGGGAGCTGGCAGCTGTCACTGGAGATCGAGCTCTCCTCCCACAGCGCCCTCCCACACCAGGGAGGAGGGAGCTGGCAGCTGTCACTGGAGATCGAGCTCTCCTCCCACAGCGCCCTCCCACACCAGGGAGGAGGGAGCTGGCAGCTGTCACTGGAGATCGAGCTCTCCTCCCACAGCGCCCTCCCACACCAGGGAGGAGGGAGCTGGCAGCTGTCACTGGAGATCGAGCTCTCCTCCCACAGCGCCCTCCCACACCAGGGAGGAGGGAGCTGGCAGCTGTCACTGGAGATCGAGCTCTCCTCCCACAGCGCCCTCCCACACCAGGGAGGAGGGAGCTGGCAGCTGTCACTGGAGATCGAGCTCTCCTCCCACAGCGCCCTCCCACACCAGGGAGGAGGGAGCTGGCAGCTGTCACTGGAGACCGAGCTCTCCAGTGACAGCTGACAGCTCTCTCCTCCCTGGTGTGGGAGGGCGGTGCGAGAAGAGAGCTTGGTCTCCAGTGACAGCTGTCTCCGCCCCGCACTGCCGCGCTCGGCATCCTGTAACCTTCTCTCCTCCTCGCTGGGCACTGGTCTGTGTCCCCTCAGACCCCTGATGGCTCTGCCAACACAGGCGGGAAAAAGCAGCCGGCATCGGAGGGGGCACAGACCCGCATCCAGCGGGGAGAGCAGCCGGCATCGGAGGGGGCACAGACCCGCATCCAGCGGGGAGAGCAGCCGGCATCGGAGGGGGCACAGACCCGCATCCAGCGGGGAGGAAAGCATTTTCGGCTGTTATAATCTAATAATGAAAAGTACCATTTTCTGCCGAAATGTTTTTGCAGCCCACATTTTGGTGTCCCGTTCTAGGTGGCCCATTGTGGAATAAAGGCACTTTTATTTTGGTTAATGCGGGCTGTAGCTTCACTGCAGTCTGAAACCCAAAATATGGGCATTCCTGTGGGGGAGGTACAGCCCACATTAAGCCCCGCCCCCTCACTGAGCTAACTATTCATTGTGTTCTTATTATTACGTATTATGAGTGAACAGTCAGCGCTGTGGGGCTGTGCGATAGATCTGCCGGGGCCGTACAAGCAGCTGCAGATAGATGACACAGCCCCACAACTATGAGGGATCTTCTACTACTATGAATGAACGATCAGCGCCGGGGGGACCGCGCCATACACTGTACCATCCCGGACAGCACTGATTGTTCATCCATAAAAGATCAAAGTGCAAGTTCCCCGCGTCATAAACATGCAATACTTCCGCATACCACGCTAATCGTATATCTTCACTCCCACAGTAGAACAAGATGGACGCGGAAGTACAGAAGCCCCTCCCACCGACAAGCAGAATGTAGCATCCTAACCGCCAATTAGAAATTTTGGTGTTGCGTCTCCTGAACATGGACAGCCTGCCGACGGTTGCGGATTTTCTTAGCTCCACCCCTGATATGAACCACCTGACCGGAGAGGTACGTCATGAATTACCATAGACTCAAATGATTGTCCTGTTATTGGTCACTGGGGGACACGGCAGCACAGGGTAGATTTGCTGTCTACGGGCAAACGCCAGAAAATGACTTCCTTCCCTCCGCCTCATTACCGCAGTCCACCTACCGCTCTCAGCTGATTGCGCAATTCCTGCAGTCTCTTGGTAGATATGTCAATATATATATATATATATATATATATATATCTATATATAAATACAGTATACCAATAACACAGATACTACTTAGTATGTATGAACCCCTTATATACATAGGAGTGGACTTATTAACAAACCACAGGGCCATTTGCCTTTTGAATATCTGTGAACATTCGTCATCTGTGAGTATATGCACAAACGAATGTTCATTCGTTTTTCCTTGCACAAGTGTAACTAAACTTGAATGTTCTAGTTGTAATATTTCATTATGGCCTCTAGGTGGAGCTGAGTAGCTCAGAAGATAAATACTGATATCCTATTCCCCATTATCACCATCTAGTGGCCATAATGCTGTATTACATTGAGAGCGTTTACATTTAATTAGACGTTCGCTTGCGCACATATACGCACATGACGAACGTTCACAGATATATTCGCAAGGTGAATGACCCTGCAAATCATTTATACATCAACCCCCCTAGTGTACCCTCCCCCTTTCCTAAGCAATTCATTCTTAACAATTTTTCCGCTCCGATGCAACAGGGAACACAATGACTTGCCACGGTTCCAGGGGAGGCAGCTCGGTCCTCGGGGTCTCGGTAAGGTATTGTTTGGCTCCGCCTTCTCCTTCCCCTGAGTTACTAAATAGGAATAGGTCTTCCTCTTGTAGAACTGATCGGTGCTGTGATACTATTGTAAAGCTGACCTCCGGGCATACAGCCAACCACACGCACGTGAACTGTCATACCGGCAAAACGCTTTGTAATTCCGTTCAGCCGCTCTTCCGATCCACCCTGCCGGATGGCACAGCCTCGCCGTTCTCCCCTGCAATCAACCGGCACAGCTTAGCCAAGAATGTGATTGGACAGTAAGGGAGAAGCAGCACATCAACGCCCTGATGAGGTCATCACTCTGCTCTCTCCTGTTTGCATGCTGCCTGTATTAAACTGACAGCACCGCGCAATGCAGAAGATCCTTGTTGGCTCACAGTACTGGCCCTCCATTTCCCCGTGCTGTTGTGCAAAGCTCATATAAAGGTGGATTCACATACGTATACTGGCTGCTTTTGAAATATAGTTCATGATTGCGTTAAGAAAACAGAGCCGGTGTTCTATCGAAAGCTCCAACCCATCGAAATCTCCAACTTACTCACTTCCGGTGCTCAGAAACACTGGAGCTGTGTACGGTTGTGGCGCGCATGCGCACACAGCGTCTTCAGAATACTCGTCGAGTTTGCCACCTGCTGAATATTGTTACCATGCAGCCGTACAGAGGCTCCGACAGTCTTTGTGTTTTGCAGTCTAACGCCGTCCGGTCGGAATCTCCAACTTGCAAGTACCCGGCCGTGAGGTAGTCGGAGCTTTCGATGAGTCGGAGCTTTCGATAGAACACCGTTTTGAATTAAATTATAGTTTGTGTCCTCCCGTTACTCTAAGGAGAACTATGGGGAAAAACCTTAACCCCATAATTCTCCTTTAAGATAAATATGTGTACATTGATCAATACGGGCACTTTGCACCTTTTTTTCCAGGTAATACGTGTCCCCCAATACCCGCCCCCCGCCTATATTGTATATGGCACATCTCTCAGAAAAAAGAAGGCACAATTATATATATATATACAGGGCTCAAAATTTCAAGTCCTGAGCTACTAGCTAGGCCTTAAGAGTTACTAGCCACCAGTGCCCCACCTTACCCTGGCCCGGCCTTAACTCCGCCCCTGATCACCCCCTCTTAAATGATCTTATGATAATTCTTATCTTACGATAGTCGCCGCTTGTAAACGGCAGATTAGGGATTCCTGCTGCAGGAAAACGCAAGTCCCTGACGCAGGAATCTCTAATCACACCTGAAATATACTGTAGGTGTGAATGAGGCCTAGTATACACATACACTAAAGGTGCCCATACACCTGCCGACTATCGTACCATAGTTGTGGGTGAGCCCGCGATCGTACGATAGTCGGCAGGTGTATGGGCAGCGTGCCACCGCTTCTACTGTATGGTCGCACGACTTTCGTCTTCCAAGCACGCTGGAAAACTGCCGAAAATCGTACGATTCTCGGCGGGTTGGTGGCGTGCTCGGAAGACGAAAGCCGCACGGGCCGGAGTGCCCAAGCGCACACTGCCCGCTCAGCACTGCAATCATCGGCAAGCCCTCCCCTCAGGGGGCGTGGCTTGCGATGATCGCAGGTACGATCTGCCTGTCCAAGATGTGCAGATCGTACGAGATCTTAATGACCTTACAACCATCGCAAGACGAAAGTCATGCGATGGTTGTAAGGTGTATGGGCAGCTTAAAGCACAATAATACACTTCTCAATGTTAC